CTTAGATTCACGGTGGTACTGGTATATAGCCTCTGGCCATGTAGAACATGTCTCGTAAGAGAATGACTTATATTCTATGGCATTGGGAGAAGGTTAGATAGGACTGGTATGTAGCCTCTGGCCATGTAGAACATGTCTCGTAAGAGAATGACTTCTATTCTATGGCATTGGCGGAAGGTTAGATAGGACTGGTATGTAGCCTCTGACCATGTACAACATGACTCCGTAAGAGAATGAACTCTATTCTATGGTATTGGCAGATGATAAAACAGGGCGTAAAAACCTGTAATCTATCAGATTGATAATCAGAAGTTTGTATGTCTTCTGTGCCATTTGGGCCGATGTTTTATTGATGTATATCAAGTATTGAAATCGTTATGTCTCATTGATCGTAAATCTTTGAATCAAATCTTGAGTTGATATTGAAAGTCTGACATATGATATGCATATGATATTGCTGTTCTTGTTCCTTTTGCTTCTGTCATATTGGTATATATGAGGCATAAGATTATATTGTATCTATTTATTGAATTCACTAAGCGTCACTGCTTACCCTCTCAATGTTTAACAAATTTGCAGGTGATGAGTATCCAATATAGTTTTATACTGCTGAAAGATTTAGAATAGTTAATACTATTTCTCTGTATTTTAAATGTTCAAGTATGTATATGAATAGTAGATTCCTGGGTAGATATAAAATGTAATAAAACTTAGTCGGTTTGTATCCAATCCTTTGTAATCACTTTATCAATATAAAATATTGTTTTATAAATATGCATGTAGCATGTTTTGAGGAAGTAACTTAAGAATAATGTTGTGAAGTATGAAAGTTTGGGTCTTTCAGAATTACGAAAGTTGGGGTCTTTCATTATTTATCCCATATATGAATACCTAACTGCCCACGCTCAACCGTAGTGCTTAACTCCTCTAAAAACTTTTTTATATAGTTCATATTGTGACACCGTTTGTATGCATGTATGTATACTTTTAATAAAATACTTATATTTAGAAAAGTATACTTTTAGTCAGAGTGTTTTAGCCTCATTGTATTTATAGTTGTATATCTTAAATGGTTTGATATACTTAGTTCACTATAAACAATGCTCTGATACCAATCTGTCACACCCCTGAACCGGAACGGCGGAAACGTCCGTGGGAGGAGGACTTCATGTACAGTATCATAACAATTGAATATAAATGAAACAAGCATTACAACCATTGCATTTAATATTTAATAAGTTTATATGGAATTCAAATGTTGTTTACATGATATCAAATGCAAGTGACCAAAATGAATAACGTGATGTGACGACATCTCATCCACCCAAAATAAAGTCTCTTGTGGTTACCTGTTTACTGATTTCCTAAGAATACAAGTGATTTTGAAAAGTGTCAACATTTAAGTTGGTGATTTCATAAGCATTTTGTATGAAAAGGATTTGTAACGGCTTTGTGAAAATGTTAGTGAATACTTCCAGAAAATCCAGTATTTTCTTTAAATTGAACTATAATTCTTAATCCAAGACTAAAAATGTTTGTAATGTTGTACCGAAGAGTAGTATTATAAAGTTTTATCTTTATATGAAACTACCTAAATGTATGTTAACCCATAAATCAATTATGTTATCGATACTCTATGTGATTTATTATAACCATCCTAATGTGACTAGTTGCCTGAAATGACGTGCTTCGGGTGTTGGTAACTGGTATGACATTTGTCACCCCAGACCTGGCGGTCTAACTGTAGCTAACAGTTTAGGTGCGGGGTTGTCAATCCCGTATAGATCTATACACAAGTGTCACACTCTCCCTCTAAGAGACTCTGGTTATAATGGAAGTCTTAGTTGTATACTCTGGTAGGTACGGTGAAGCCGAAACTCTCACAACCAGTATCAATCGATTTACGTGAACTGAAAACTCCTTTTACTTGTAAGTGTAATAATTATACCTTTAAATAATTATAAGTTCCTTCTAAAATGATAGAGTAGTTTTATTGTAGGGTTTCAAAGTACTCCATGGATTATGGCAATGGGCCCCCTTGATGAAGTGTAGGTTAAAAGCCCAAGACTTGTCTTTTCCCTATAAATAGTCATGTATTATTCAAAATTTGGGTTAAGAGTGAGGCAAAATGTAGCCGCTAAACATTGTGAGGATTGTGAGGTTTTTTTATGTAGAGTTAGTTTTTTTAGTCTATTCTGAAAGTGTAATCTATTTCTCATGTTTTGAATAAATCGAGTGATCATTCGACATATCTTCTTTATTTGTGTTTGTTCTTATTTTCCGCATCATGTTCATCAAATCACAATTAGGGTTTTATTCCTAACAAGTGGTATCAGAGCGGGTGTTTGAAGATCTGTTGATTTTTGAAGTATCGATCTTGATTTGATGATTTTTTGAACAAGCTATTGGAGATTTTTGGTGTTTTGGCGTCTTGGAATCAAAGTTCTGTTCAAGTTACTGTTCATGGAGATTTATGGTGTTCTTCTATTCATCTAGGTAATTTTTTTATCCGATTCATATCTTGTAAGTGTTTTCTGATTGGATCTGATCATCCGTTTAATCCAAATCCAATGTATTGTCGATGGATCAGCTTCATTTGTTATTGGGCCATTGATTTGTTACTTTACTGTTCATGATCCATCCCTTTTGCCCTAATATCATATTCGATTTCCCTTTTGCGTCATTTACTTTGCGTGCTCAGTTCATCCATTTATTCATTCTCTCAAGATCAATCAAGATTAACAATCGTTGCTTGTATCATTGTCGACTAAGGGTATTGATACGTCTTCATCAATTTTGATGAATCGATTTGTGTGTGATTTAATTCAAGATCAAACCTTCATCGATTTTCTCATTCAGATTCTTACGATCGGTTTGATTAACTCGTTTTGAACTTGGAAATTGTCTGATGATATTGTTGTGATTTATCTCGATTTTTGGAAGTAGCGATTATATGATTGTTGAGTAGAAATTTTGAAGTCCTGTGATGTACAGGTGACGAACGGATGGTCAAACCAGAAATGTCATGTTCAAAGTCAAATTTGAAATCAATCCTTGTTCTTAAAATCAAACTCAGAATTGAATTGATTTTTGGTCTCAAAACTGTTTTTTTTAAGTGTAATGTCGAGTGACCTGGAATTGGAATGGTCGTGGTCGCAATTGCTTGTCACCGATTAAGGTCAAAATATTGTGTTCGGGAACAAAAATGAATTTGCAATTGTTTTGAAGACCTGTCCGCAATCACCTATGGAATTCGCAATCGAAATTAATTGGGACTCGGATCTAGAACATGAATTGGAATTGAATTGTTGTACTTGGATGTGAAACATGGCTCGGTATTGGCACTGTGTTTGATCGATTAGGAACGAACGGGTTCGTTGTTGGATGTTTGACTAGTCTCAGATTCGTAACTTCCACAATCGTTAAATGCGAACCTGTGTTCGGGACCGAGTACTCGCTGTTGGGTTGTTCAGAGTTTGGAATTGATTCGGAGTGAAAGGTCAAGGATTCAGGGTTGCCTTGATTCGCACCATTGGATTCGGAGTGAACCTTTCGCAGTCGATGTTTCTGATAAAAGCGAAACAACTTGAAATTGACACTGTGAATGGCTCGGATTCGATTTCGTATCGGTGTGCTCGGAACGAAGTAAATGGGATTTGTTTGGATTCGTGTTCTTCAAGATATGATAACAAGCTGTATCAGACGTTAAATTGGGAAACATGACTCATGTTGCATTTTTGGTCCCTGTAACTATAGCGATTTGACACTTTTGGTCCCTGTTGTTTTCACAGCTTGGCGATTTTGGACCATTTCCAGAAACTGTTACAAATGAAGAGGAGTATGATGCATATTTATTATTTTAATCCCCTAACTTTCAGCAATGTGACAGTTTCAGCCTATTTTTTGAAAAGTTTGCAAATTTGAGGGCTGGTGGATAGCTTTGGATTCTTTAATGCACATATTTTTTCGTGAACAAAAAATTATGGATTCCATCAAGTCTTGGTGGTTCGGAAAGTCGTTTTTCGTGATAACGTCCAATTTTTTCGAATCTTTCGCATTTTAAACCTCATTGTTTATATCATTTTGTCTTGGGGGAGCATAGTAATTATTTATTCATTCAAGATCATTCTGATGACCATTTGAAGGTTTTATAATCATCTTTTTGATTATAAATCGGGGGAGAATTTGATACGGCCTTTCGAATTTGGATTTATGACTTTTCAAATTTGAAGATTTTTGATAATGCCTGTGGTAGAATTATGAAGGTAGCTTTTACAATAGCAGTTCTCCATCGAGCTCTTCTAAAGTTTTTACAGAGAAATAGCATTTACAGTAGTAGTTCTTCATCGAGCTCTTCTAAGGCCTTGTTATATCTCCGACTTCTAGTATTTTCTCGATCAAGTGGCGTTACGAATCTTAAAATTTGGCTTGTTACATGATATTTTTGATGACTTATATCATTAGCTTATTTGAAGATAATTGTGACTTAGAGGGGGAGTTCTTCAAAGACAAGAAGTGATTCGGTTTTTTAATTATGAAATGGGTTTTTATGGCGGGTTTGGCTTTATTGAAGATCTTTGGGATTACATTAAAAAATGAAGTTTAAAAACATTACTTCTGTGCTTGGTTTATATATCCTAGAACCCATTTTTGAAGACTACTGAAGAATCATGATTCGTGGATTGCTTCAAATATTCCTCGTCGCGAGATCTTTTCTTATTTGCTAGATGCTTGTTTTGGAAGTTGAAGTCTTGTCATCCATTCCATACTTTGAGGGGGAGATTGTAGGGTTTCAAAGTACTCCATGGATTATGGCAATGGGCCCCCTTGATAAAGTGTAGGTTAGAAGCCCAAGACTTGTCTTTTCCCTATAAATTGTCACACCCCCAAACCAAGGATGGCGGAAACGTCCGGGGGTGGCAGACTTCATGTATAGTATCACAACAACGAGTATAATAGTGCTCAAAGTAAATACAACCAATCATAAATATAATCAGAAAAGGGTTACATGGTTTCAAGTGTTACATATTTCAATGATTGATTACAACATGATATAAAAATGGTTGTTCAACGCCGTAGAGTTCCATCCTCAAAAGCTTATGGTTACCTGGTTCCGTTGGTTTCCTGAGAATACAAGTAGTTTTGAAAAAGTGTCAACAATTAAGTTGGTGAGTTCATAAGCTTTTTAGATGAAGAGTTTGGAAACCGATCTTTGTAATGTGTTGTGTGTTACCAAGAAAAATCCAATATTTTCCTTACAAGAGTGATGTGTAGTCTTACATACCAAGACCGAAATTGCACAGTAATATCCGTACTTATTGATATAAAAAGTGATTTTAAATCGACATAAAACACTTTTTGATTTATAAAAATCCCTATAAACTTTATGTGTTGTTAACTCCCTATGTGAGTCGCTATAACCATACTATGACTGAATGAACCTGCCACGACGTTTCTCAGACGTCGAAAAAGATAATGACACTTGTCACCCCAGACCTGCCGGTCTAGCTGTTGCATGCAGCTCAGGTGTGGTTCGTCAAACCCAATATTGATCTATACACAACTATCACGTTTTCCTAACAAGAGACTCTGGTTATAACTACCAGGAATTTTAACCCGTACTCTAGGAGTACTGAGAAGAATGTCTCACAATTTAAGTTAACAAGTTTACGTGTAGTGTGCGTGAGTGTAAAACCTTTTTCTGTGGGAATAGAACCTTCCGAAGTGTGTTTTTTGTGTTAATGGAAACATAAAATATACCTATTATAGCTTATCAAAAACGTTTTGTAATAGTAGAAATCCTCTTTGTATATGATGTTAACCTTTATAATGAAGTAGAAGACATGTAATATAACCAACATGTATTTATACATAATAATACACACCTTGCTCAGCAAGTAACAAAGTGTAAATGAGTTATTAATAATTTTCTAGTTTTATCTTTTCTGTTCCTGTTCTTGGAATAATTATAGAAAAATCATACGGAGTTGAAAACTGATTCCGTAAATTCTGAGGGTTTAGAAAATGTGTCTAGTTTGTTCATAATTTTTATTATGATTTTTAGAAGTCTATAACTTGTATGATAATGTTCATTTTCACAGACTGGTCCAAATTCGTAGCTACAGTGATAGGCAGTTTTGTAAAAATCACCATAAATTGTAGAAAACTCCTATGGAGATGTGAAAGTATTCATTTTAAAGGTATGAACCTGAAATATTTTCACCTAAAACAGTTTTGAAAACTAAAAAGTTTAAGACGTTCAAAACACTCCGTTAATGGAGTTAAACTTTTCTGATGAAAGCTGATGAATGAGTTTAGTTGTGTTCTTGGTGTTTTAACTTGTATTCCCCCCCTTAAAACTTAAGAAAAACATGAAAAGATAGGGTTATGAACTCACCTTGTGGGTTTTCAGTGGATGAATGTTGAAGAAGGAAAGTGTTCAACTCAAGAACACTTAGAAGATTGGTTGAAGATTCGAAGATCTAACACAAATATGATGAAGTTTGTGTAAGAAACCTATGATTTGAGTAGAAAGAGGTGGAATAATCATATGAAGGATAATATTACTCACCAAAAGTAGATGAAGAGTTTGGAAATCAGCCTTGGAAATCTCGAAATTTAGAGAGAGAATGGAGTTTGTTCTTTTGGTGGAGAATGAGAGAAATGTGAGGAGAGATAAGAGTTTTCCATCCTTTGACCAAGAGTGTTGCTTGAAAAATGGTGGGAAAAGGACAATGAAATGACCAAGTATGGGTGAATAGTGACTGGGAATAATCAAGGAGTGGGTATGGGAGGTAACTTGTGTCCTTGCCCAAAGGATAAGTCAACACTCCACCTAAATATCTCACCAAATAGATTTTATTCTTAGGCCGGGATTTTCCCCAAAAAATATGATTAAAAATGAATATTTAGGGTCTCTTATATTAAATTACGAATTTTGGTGAAAATCCAGCGTTAAAATCACGAAAAACGGGCTTAAAACGAAGATTGGGTCAAAAACCGGGAAGAAAATGCTAATTTTCGAAGTTTGGCCGAAGGTTGGGTCTTGAGAGGGTTAGAACCGAAGGTAGGCTTCGGTTGGTGCATTGGAACCGAGAGTAAGAGGTTCGGTCCGAGCCTCGCAGGCGAACTCACCAGAAGGGACCGAAGGCGAGGGTTCGGTTCAGCAGATCGGATCAGCAACTTCGGTTCGGTCCTCCTAGTTCGGTTCTTAAGGCTGTTCGGTCCAGGAGGCTTCTTAGGGGTTTCGGTTCCTTAAGAGGGTTCAGCTCCTTAAAGTTGTTTTTCGCGTAAACTTCCGTTTTCGAGCGGTTTTTGACTAAATTAAGGGTCGGGATGCCCCGAGTGATTATAAAAAGTTGAGAGAGATTTGGGAGAGATTTCACACACTTGGAGAGATTTCTCATACATAGAGAGATTTGGGAGAGATTTCACATACTTAGAGAGATTTATCATATAGAGAGAGATTTGGGAGAGATTTCACATACTTGGAGAGATTTCTCATACTTAGAGAGATTTGGGAGAGATTTCGTTTGAGACCTTTTTCGATGTTTAGCTTCGTTATGCAAGGTGTGTAAACCCCGTTAAGCCTTGTTATGAATGTTATACGCCCCTGACGGGTATGGGATAGTGTTTTACTAAGTAGTTTCATCACTTACCCTAATTTAGGTGTAGGTTTTCTGAACACGTGAAACTTCTAAGCGATGCTTTGTATTAAGATGGTGCGTTGTACAAGGGTTAATTGAGTTGACCGGTTTGACTTGTTTACTTTATTTGACTTTGACTTGACCAGAAATTGACGGTTGTCACATAAATAGTCATGTATTATTCATAATTAGGGTTAAGAGTGAGGCAAAATGTAGCCGCCAAACATTGTGAGGTTTCTTATGTAGAGTTAGATTTTTTAGTCTATTCTGAAAGTGTAATCTATTCTTCATGTTTTGAATAAATCAAGTGATCAATGACATATCTTCTTTATTTGTGTTTGTTCTTATTTTCTGCATCTTGTTAATCAAATCACAATTAGGGTTTTATTCCCAACATTTATGACTCCAAAACTATACCAATTATAGTTTATCATGTTTGTTTTGTCAAGAACATTTATATAAGCATTTATATAAATACTTAGTAGTCATCTTGTTTAGTTTCTGAATGTAAGTTTAAACATCATATTTTTGGGTTGTAACCCTCAAAATAGTGAAATAACTAGAATGTACTCCTTTTGGTTAGAAAAGCTACATTTTATTAAAAACTTCCAAAAACCTTGTAATTTCACAAATCATAATTTTTCTCACGATTTTCATAACATAGATCATGTTCAATTTTTGGTAGTTTTGCATTTGAAAACTAATATAACACAAATATTTGTATAAACTAGCAAAAATGATAACTCATGAAAATGCTATCTTAATCTTAACATAAAGATGAAATATAGAAAGTATTTGAGTAGTAAACCAAGTTTTACTTGTATCCCCCCCCCCCCCCCCCCCCCCCCCCTAAAACATGAAAATCTCGAAAATGTGGGGGTATGAACTCACCTTGAGTGGATTGGTGGGTTGTTTGAAGTGATGATGTGAATATTCCAAGCTTAAAACACCTGAAGGTATTTGATGAACTCTTTGAAGATTATGTTACCCTAAGGATGTTTAACACATAATAATATGTGTAAATAGGATGAAACTAACATAAAAATGTATAGAAACACTAGAGGGTCACGAAATTGCTTACCAAAATCTAAGGACCAACTTAGAGATGATGAGCTTGGAAGAACTCGGACTTGTTCTTTGAGAGAAGAAGGATGAATGGAAATGAAAGAGGTTGATGATAAATGAAAGAGGGAGCCTTCTGGCTGAAGTTAAATGGGAGAAATGGGTGGGATATGTGCATGGTTATTTGAGGGGTAATGACATTGGTTGCATGGATACGTGTTGGGTAAAATGGGGGTAAAGATGAATTATCCTATCACAAGGTCAAAACCTTTTCTTTCCTTAAAAACATAGAAAAACTCATTGGAAACTCAATAGAAAACACCAAAGCACATGTAATTTCGGCCCATGCTCCAACCGAAATCACATGTGATTTCGGTCCTAAATCAAACCGAAATCACATGTGATTTCGGTCTAAGCATGACCAAAATCCCATGTGTTGGGTCCTAGGTTGGTGTTTTCAGCCTAGGGTGTTCTAGGTGGGAGATTTCGGCCTCCTTACAACCGAAATCTCAATGGGGGTGGGGTACTAGGCCAATAACTATAAAGTAATGTTTTAAATCCATGATTTTATGTTCCAACGATTTGGCTTTGTTTTTAAGTGTTTACTACAAACATGATTTTCACAGTATGCATATACACTTATATATATATATATATATATATATATATATATATATATATATACTAGGAAACGTATTAGGGTCGTGATAATCACGGCCCTAGAGAATTGATCAGTAAGGTATTTTACGTAAGTTATTTTTACATGATTTTAGTTTTTAATAACATTTTATATTTTTAAATTTAAGTTTTTTATTTCAAGTAATTTTGTTGCTCATAATAGAAAGAATAAATCATATTAGTTACTTATGCGGTTAGTAATTGTAGTTTGGAAATGATATATTTATACTTTGAATATGTACTATTATATTAAGTCATTATTTGTTTTTTATTATATGGTTTAATGTACAATTGAAAAATGTTTATATGTATTTAAGAAAATAAAAGAATGATAATATTACATACTACCTTTGAGATTGATTTGAGGAAAATGTTTCATGTGCTACCCCTGAGTCAAGTAAGCACATTCAGAACATACTCCAACAGTTTTACAATAAAAAGTTGAATTAAAACTTAAACAATTGTCAGACTATAAGATATAAAATTCTTACCTGCAACACAAGTACTTGAACGAAGATTGTTAGAACTGTAAGAACACCCTCCATTACTTTGGCAAAGAGTCCAACAAGAACATTCACTGTGAAGTGGGTTTTAACTGAAAAAAAACAAGATTGTTGAGCTCTTTTAATGAGAAATATTGTAGGAATTTGTATATAGCATATAATATATAATAACCAACGCAGCCTTGGAACTTTGACAATCCCTTTAAACCTTGATGCAAAAACCCTAAAGACGTCAAAGTTATGAGTTCCAGAAATTTTGAAATATAATTTGAATTGTTACAAAAGCCATATCTTGACATGAAGAGCAATATGAAACCAAAAAGAAATAGGAAAGGAATACACTATCAATACCAATTACAAGATCATTCCAATGTTTCCATAAGTAAGGTTGTCCCTTACTTCACTACCATTCTCCTCCTAGAATTGATATAGGAAATTAGCAAAAATAGTTAGTGAATTTATAATTAGAAATTAAGGTGCAAAGATGTTAAAGGGTACTTATTCAGCAAGATTGCGGTTGTCAAAAGATGTGGTTTACTGATCACATACCTTTAGCGACACTTTCCACTTCACCAACAATCGCTTATCCTCCTACCCCATTCCATTTCCCTTGCCCTTGAAGTTGGAACCTCATTTCCCCTTTCATTCATCTTCTCCATGGAAAAGTGAGACAAATAGATGCCTGATCACCCTTTTTAGAGTTCATTGCATGAATCCTTTAGTGATGATAATTTTGATCTTATCTAGTCCCATGAAAAAATCATTGACCGTACAAACAAAATGACCAACTGTAAAGTTAAGATTGATAATAGTAATGAAATTCATCACTAATGGTTGTGATGTACCGAATGAGATGATAAACTTCAAACCCTTAACCTTCATCAGAAAAATCTTTGCTTCATAGTAGTTATGCTTCAGCCGACTCCCTTAACATTATTGTGAGTCGTAATCCAATTCGTCTCAAACATTGTCAAATGTCAAGTAACTTAACATTATGTAAATAAAGTTATCTAACTTAAGTACAAAGTAAACCTGGTTCTTTATAATGTAAGCACCACCACAAATGTCCTATGCACTACCTTTCAAATACAAAAAAATAAAATAAAATAAATAAATAAAGAAAAATAAGAAAGGATCAGAAGAGTAGAAAACATTTGCAAGTAACTTACTTGGTCATCCTAAAGTCCACAGGGTACATGTTTGTTAAGTCTAAACCTGAGTTTTGTAAACAAAATTCACATTGCAAAGGTAGTAACAAGTCATTAATCACTCTAATTTGACCCCCCAAGTTGATCAATTGACTGAACCTGAAAACAGAGAAGTGTGGACTTCATTATATAAATCGCTTAACGAAAATCATAATTTATTTGGTAAGTGGATGGGATTACTGAAGAAAAAATGATGGAGAACCTGCATAATCAAATAATCATAGTTAATTAACATGTATTTTTACATTAACCGATTTTAAAGATAAGTTTACCAGGATTTGACTTGCAGCTGCTTTACCTAATATGTTAATAGAGAAACTCCAACTCATGTGTTCCATACTGCAAAGATAAGATAAAACAACCCAAATACACTCTTGATGAGAATTTTGGAGAGGAAATAAGGAGAGAAGAGCTACAACGTGATACAAAATGGGGAAAAGAGACTGAACATGACAATGAGAGAGCGTTTGGGCATTTTTTTTCTCCTTCATATTGATTGTATTCTATCACTTAGAGATCATGACATCCTTGTGACTTTCTCCAAAAATCGATAAGATGATTAGCCATTAGAGAAATATGTCAAACAGTTGGTGTGCACAATAGTTGCAAAGAGAACATGAGTCCACAAACATACATGCAGAGGCCAATATTTAGCTATTAATTTAATTTTCCATTGCCCAAAGCAGAAGGAAAAACCAATGAGGAAGAGTATAATAACTGATCAAACTTTTCATTGCCAACAGTTGTTAAATTTGGTCCTAATTAACATACGATGAACAATAAATTAACTTCAAAATGATTAAGAAAAATATTTAAAATTGACTAAACTACCTAATCAGGAAGTTGCATATCAACAACGTTGTGGATTTTAAAATCAAACGAATTTCCATCAGTATGACACATATTATAAGCTTTAAGTGACCGAAGTATGAGGCAGGCATGTCAGCTGCAACGAAATTAGGTCAAGTTACCTGAAAGAAGAGTAGCAAACTGATTCTTTTATACGAGAGAGAAGATCTGATGAATGAAAACCTCTGAGCAATTGGAGAAGAAGATTTGAAGCGATGGACTAAATAAGTGCCAAAAATGTTTAAGGGTTTGGGTATTTGAATATCATCGTATTCTTTGGTATGTTGGAGGAACATAAGCTGCCTAGAACACCATCTTCAACACACAAGTGTCCTGACCTCCGTCTAACGTCCGGGAGCACCGCCTCCAATAAATGGTGAAGAAGGCGTGAGATCATCGATGTGTGCATGGAAAGTTGTTCGGTATGACATAAGGATATTAGCTGTCCCGGACCGCCTTCTCTAGCGCAAGAGCATCGATGGTGTTTGAATGAAACGTATTAAGATAAGATATAAATAAAAGGGAAACATGAGGTGACAATCTTGTCTATAAAATACAAATAAATGAAATATAGGCGGCAATCTTGGCCGCAAAACGAAGCAGGAGGTGTCAGCAAAAGAAAAATGGCGTTAAAAAGGAGAGAATGGCTAAGTTGAAAATGACCGCCCATAGCCTTTTTATTGGTGAAGAAAAGTTGTTCATCGACGTGTACCCAAAAACAATTCTCTAACACACACACATATATATATATA